CAATAGTTGGCCTTTCTGAACCATTTGGGAATAATTTGCAGATATGACTTTCCATTGTGTCTCAGTTGTTCAGTGTAAATTTTCTAGTACAAAGATATATATTGATACATATTTGCATCATAACCATCATCTTTAAACATTTTAAAAATGGGGATTTGTGGCCAGGAGTGGTGGCTCACACTGGTAATCCCAGCACTTTGGGAGGCCAGGGTGGGCAGATCACAAGGTCAGGAGATTGAGACCATCCTGGCCAACATGGTAAAACCCCATCTCTACTAAAATACAAAAAAAAAAAAAAAAAAAAAAAAAAATTGGCCGGCATGGTAGTCCCAGCTACTCAGGAGGCTGAGGCAGGGGAATCACTTGAGTCTGGGCAGCAGAGGATGCCATGAGCGGAGGTCGTGCCACTGCACTACAGCCTGGGCGACAGAGCAAGACTCCATCTAAAAAAAAAAAAAAAACAGAAATGGGGATTTGTATTACATTGTTTTTCTTTTTGAAAAAATTACAGAGGAACTTAATGCAATAGCTATTACTTAATATCTGATAACCTAGTAGTAGTTTTCATTGCTTTCATTTATCAAGTGTTCAGTGAATGCTTACTATGCTTACTGTGTAACAGCACAGTTATCAGCCCTGGGGGAAATCGATGAATGAGATAAGATTTGTGCTCTCTCTGGGCACAGTGGCTAACACCTATAATCCTAGCACTTTGCAAGGCCAAGGCCGGCCGATCACCTGAGGTCAGGAGTTTGAGACCAGCCTGACCAACATGGAGAAACCCCGACTCTACTAAAAATACAAAATTAGCTGACTGTGGTAGCACATGCCTGTAATCTCAGCTACTTGGGAGGCTGAAGCAGGAGAATTGCTTGAACCCAGGGGGCAGAGGTTGCAGCGAGCCAAGATTGTGCCATTGCACTCTGGCCTGGGTAACAAGAAGAAGACTCTGTCTCAAAAAAAAAAAAATTGCCCTCTCCCGAGCTTACACGCCATAAAGGGAAATAAACAGAACACCAGAGGATGATAAGTTTATGCTGAGAATTAAAATGAAATGATGAGGTAGTGGGAATGTCAGGGGGCTACTTTTGGTGGGGTGGTTAGGAAAGGCATCTCTGGGGAGCTTTTTAAACTCAGACCTGAATGAAAAGAATGAGCCAGTTACAGAAACATTATGTTAACTCATATGGTAGTTCAAGATGCTTTATCTGCTCAAATGTATTATTTTTGGTGACTTTCAACAATAATAAGGGTCTGTAAACCAACACTCATTCACATAAGAATAGCCACCAGTGAATCTTTTTGTATGATAGGTTTTTTGTTTCTTTTTTGAAACGGAGCCTTGCTCTGTCGCCCAGGCTGGAGTGCAGTGGTGCAATCTTGGCTCACCACAACCTCTCCTCCCCGGTTCAAATGATTGTCCGCCTCTGTCTCCTGAGGAGCTGGGATTACAGGTGCTCACCACCATGCTCACCTAATTTTTGTATTTTTAGTAGAGATGATGTTTCACCATGTCGTCCAGGCTGGTGTCAAACTCCTGACCTCAAGCAATCCACCTGCCTCAGTCTCCTAAACTATTGGGATTACAGGTGTGAGCCACCGTGCCCAGCCATGATAACTTATTTTATGGTGAAAATACCTATCTCTTAATTTGTCTGATGAATTTAAATTTTATGTCTGGGATTCCTAGGATCAGCACTTCTATATATATATATATATATATAT